TTTCTTTCTTTCTTTCTTTCGTGGGGGAGGTAATTAGGTTTGTTTGTTTGTTTATTTTTGGTGGAGGTACAGGGGATTGAACCCAGGATGTCATGCATGCTAAGCAGGCACTCTACCACTGAGTCATACCCTCCCCTCTCTTTTCCTTTCTTTCAACTAACATTTATTGGCTCCTGACAGTATGCCAAGCATTATGTTAGGTAGTCCACAGGGACTCCAGGGATGAGCAAGAGTTGGTCCTGGCCCTGGAGAACCAGGGTCTAGGGAGAGAGACACGTAAAATGCATTAATAGGGATTTCTAGGAAGTGCCAGGAACTTGAACAAATAATTAACATCTTTAACTTTCAGTTTCCCCACCTAGAAAATGGGCCAGTTACCCTACTCATAGGATTACTGGGTTTGGTGAAATCATGTATCAAATGCCTAGCATGGTGCTCGGCATATAAAAAGCACCCAGTATATGAGGGATGTTACTCTTGTTGATATCATTAGCCTTGTGCAGAGTTCCTGAAATATGTCTGAGCCTGCCACATACAGAAGATAAGAAAGGGTGTGTGATGTGTCTGAAGCAGGGACAGGCTGAGATAGAATGAGGGCAGACTGGGGAGGCTCCTTCAGCCATGGGCTGAGAGGTCTTTTATGTCCTGTTGCGGAGTTGGGGCTTGATCTGGTCAGCAGAGGAACATCAGTGTTTCTTTCCTTTTTTTTTAAATTGTAGTAAAAGACACATAACATAATTTTAACCATTTTTAAGTGTCCAGTTTGGTGGCATTAAGCTTCACAGTGTTGTAAAATCATCACCACTGTCCATCTTCAGAACTCTTCATCTTGTAAAACTCCCTTTGTCCTACAATGACCTGTATGACCTCTGGCACATCACTCTGGTTTTTTTCTGCATAATATTAACATTATTAAATTTTTTGCTTGTTTTGCTGTTTATTGGAATGGGAGCCCCAGGAGCATAGGGACCAGAACAGAGCCTGGCTCTGAGCAAATGCTTATTAGATACACGTTGAATGAATGAATGGAAGTTCGGGTTGGACTCTAAAGGGTGGGCAGTCTTCCAGGACGAGGAAATGAAATGGACAAAGGTGTTAAGACAGCAATAAGCACAGCCTGTCCCAGGAGTGGCCAGCTCAGCTCCAGTGGAGGGCTAGTTAGGGCCTAGTGGCAAAGGAGGCTGGGGGACACAGACTGGGTCTAGGCTGTGGAGTACCCTGAAGGTTAGACTGAAGAATCAGGACTATTTCCTGCAGGATCACAGGAAGCCACTGAAGACCTTTGAGGTGAGGGGTGACCTAATTAAAACTGTATTTTGAGAAAAATAATAATCCTGAACCTGCCGTGGAAGGGACTGAAGTAGGGCCAGCTGCAGAATTTGTGGGACCCAGTGCAAAATGAAAATGTGGAATCTCTTGTTCAAAAAGCAGGAAAAGAGTGATGTTCCAGGTACTAAAATAGAAAATGTTTTCCTTTTTTCCATCATCCTTCTCTTGACTTGTCATATTTATTTAATGTTATTCTAAATGAAGCAAATAACATTTTTAAACCTTCAGCTTACTGATCAGTACAGAAGGACTGAAAGGAAAGAGAATTATGGGTTGCCTCAGCTTTCCCTTTCTTTCCATGTCATCACTGCCAGCAGAAGCAGTTGCCTAAATCAGGGAAGTGACGTGACTGAGAAAGCATGTGATAGGATACCTCGATCACCTATGTCCCCTGGAATGCCATTGCCTTCTTTCTGTGTTCAAAGCAAGTTCTGTTTATAAAGGAAAGTGTGGTCTCTCAGCTGTCAGTACTCCCACTTATTCAGGTGTAGACATGATATGCTTACCTTACTTACTCTGAGTCTTGCTGAACCCCCACACATGGTGGGTCCACCTGAGATCTGTGCTCATGGACCATCACGGATGGCATGTTAGACTTATCTCCTCTGCTCACACCCATGCTCCATTGTCCCACTGGACTTCACTGACAAAGCACAGGTTTGAAGATAAAATTATTAAGAAATTCAAGATGAGGGGAGGATATAGCTCAAGTGGTAGAGTGCTTTCTTAGCACCCACAAGGTCCTGGGTTCAATCCCCAGTACCTCTTCTTAAAAAAAATAATAAATGAATAAACCTAATTACCTCCCCCATACACACACACAAAATCAAAGAAAAAAAAAACAGAAAGAAAAGAAAGAAATTCAAGATGGTCACCACAGAGCACTAAATCAAGCACAAGGCCACTCCAAGCACCGGCCTTGTCTGAGGACATCCCAAGCCCATGAAGCCTGCCCTGGACTGGAGGGAGAGCTTGAGCGGAAGAGTGGTAAGTCAGAATGGGAGTTCGTGAGGAATACAGCCAAGGATTTAAAGTTAGAGCTGAAAGAAGAAAAACCTCTTCAGGGAAAAGCAACAAGATTTGAAGAGAGATGAAAAGACATCGATAATGATTCTTAACACGAGGTTGGTGAATGCCCTGGTACCGCCGTGTACTAGACTGTGGGTCTCTGGAGCCCTGTGAGAACTGCGACTTTACCTCCCCAGTGCGAGATTGCACAAGGTCTCCAGTAGGTGCTCAATAAATGTTTGTTGATCCAAATGGGCAAATGAGGAGGGGATTTCAGACATAGGGTTGGGAGGAGGCAGAACATCCAAGAAGATGGGGCTCCAGGGCTGAGGTCCCAGGGCAACGCTGGGGACTGGGAATGTGCTGTTGGGAGGCTTCATCAAGGGGTATGGTGGGAAGGCAAGGAGTCCCCAAGGAGGCTTGGGGAGAACCAGGTGGTGGGAGAAGGGGCTGTGGGAACAGAGAACGGTGGTGTTGGGGGGATTGGTAGCAGCTCCTACAGGGGGAATTTCCCTCCTGCGGTGGCCTTTATCCATCTCTGTGTGGCCTGTTCTAGCCCCCATCCCGGCTGGTATAGCACCCCGGCTGGTCTCTTCGATCTGTTTTTCTTGTCCCTTGCCCTTTCTCTATTCATTTCACATTCTGCCCAGTCTCCTGGATCTTAGTCTCTAACTCTCTGCCTGGGGCCCCCATTTCAGCATATATCTGCTTTCCTCTCCGTCTTCTGTGTCTCTCTCGGGTTATCTTTTCCTCTACTGCGCCCGGCTCGCCCTCTATTCTCTCCACCCACCCGGATCCAGTCCAGTACCTGCGGTGGGGGTAGGGAAGAGACCTCTTGGTCTGAAGAGGAGTCAGGGGGCGGGCCCAAGCCCTTCCTCCAAATTTGCATACGCATGAGGTCTCCCTGGCCAGCAGCGAGGAGGCGGGGCTTCTGGGGGTGGGAAGGGGGCGGGCACCCCTGGAGCCGCCGAGTATAAAGACTGCGCGTCGCGACTGCCGGCCCCGCACTGCTGAGGAGCGAAGCCTTGCTCTGGGGACCTCCTCATCCCCGCCTGTCCCCCAACTGCGCGTCCCCGCCTCACCCCCGCGTCCAAACTACCGCTGGTGTGGCGGTCTCCGCTCGGCGGAAGAGCCTTGAGCGGTCACCCAACCCCTCTCCACAGCCTCTTTGCATCTCGGATTTCGGGGCGGCCCCTTCCCCCACTTCTCCCTGCCTCACTGCACCCCAATTTTTTCTGCGCTTCGCCCGGGTTTTGCAGCCGTCTATTTTTGCATCCCTTTTCGTTTTACTTCTGGGAGGCTTGGGGGTGAAGCTGCGATCGCACCCTTTTCCCTTTTTATCTTCCCCTGCTCCGACAACCTCCCTTTTCATCGCAGTCGGGGGGCCTAGAATCTGTGCATCCTACGCTGTAACGCCAGCACCCCGTGGCGCGTGGTCCTGCACCCCGGAATTTGCAGCAGCTGCATATCTGAGGGGGGTCTCCCTCGCCCCCCTTGCCTTTGATCCCCGCGCGTTAGAGTACGTGGGGAGGCTTCATCGCGCAGCACCCCGGCTTCTCCGCAGCCCCCCGCCCCGCGCGGGACTCGCCCCCTGCCGTCAAGATGGTCATCCAGAAAGAGAAGAAGAGCTGCGGGCAGGTGGTTGAGGAGTGGAAGGAGTTCGTGTGGAACCCGAGGACGCATCAGTTCATGGGCCGCACCGGGACCAGCTGGGGTACGCAGGGCCGGCCGCGCGAGGGGAGGGGGTCCGCCAGGCGACGCCCCGGGGGCACCAGGTCTCGTCGGTCCAGCCCCAGCTCCTTTCCCGGGTCCCCAGCGTCCAGCCCCCCTG